TGCTGCTGGTGCTGCTGCTGTTGGTGCGTAGAGGCTGGGGAGGTTGCGTGCTGGCGCGCAGACATGCCGGCGGGGAAGGCGCTGGACCTGTGCCACACGGCGGCAGTGGCGGACAACGGCGTGAGGGTGCAGGGCGCGAACAGCTACGCGAGCCTGGAGGGCGCGGACGTGGTGATAATAACGGCAGGAATAACGAAGGCGGCGGGGAAAAGCGACCAAGAGTGGTCGCGGAAAGACCTGCTGCCGGTGAACGTGAAAATCCTGCGGGAAGTCGGCGCCGCCATCAAGCAGTTCTGCCCGCACGCCTTCGTCATCAACATCACCAACCCCCTCGACGTGATGGTCGCCGCGCTCCGCGAAGCCGCGGGACTCCCCGCAGCCCGCGTCTGCGGCATGGCCGGCGTCCTCGACTCCGCGCGCTTCCGCAGACTCCTCGCCGACCGCCTCGGCGTCAGCCCCCGCGACGTCCAGGCCATGGTCCTCGGCGTCCACGGCGACAACATGGTGCCGCTGAGTCGCTTCGCGACGGTGAACGGCGTGCCGCTCGGCGAGCTCGCGCGCCAGGGGTGGATCTCGGAGGCGGAGATCCGCGAGGTGGAGCGCCAGACGCGCGCGGCCGGCGGCGACATTGTGCGGCTGCTGGGGCAGGGCTCTGCGTACTTCGCGCCGGGCGCTGCGGCCGTCGCCATGGCCGAGGCTTACTTGAAGGACCAGAAGCGCGTCTTCGTGTGTTCCTGCTACTTGGAGGGGCCTTACGGCGTGCGTGGCCACTGTTTGGGCGTGCCTTGCGTCGTGGGTGCGGGCGGCGTTGAGCGCGTCATTGAGCTGCCGCTCGACGCCCGCGAGGCGCAGCTCTTGCAGGCTTCCATTGACGAGGTCCGCGAGATGCACCGCCAGCTCGCTGCTGCCGACGCTGCTGCAGAGTGAGTCTCGCCTCCGTCTCTTCTTCTTCTTCCGTCTGTTTCCTTTCCTCTTCTTCTTCCATCTTTTTCCTTTCCTCTTCTTCTTCCGTCTTCTTTCTTCTTCTTCCTTTCGTCGTCTTCTTCCTTCCATCCTCTTCTTAGTTTCGCCGTCTTCTTGCTTCCCCCGTTTTCCTCGTACTTCCGCCTCTCATTCCGCCTTTTCTTCTTAGTTCCACCTTTTTCATCTTCGTTCCACCTTTTTCATCTTCGTTCCACCTTTTTCATCTTCTTTCCACCTTTTTCATCTTCATTCCACCTTTTTCATCTTCATTCCACCTTCTTCGCCGCCCGATCCCAGCCCCGGTTTCCGCCCGACGCGCCCGCCGCTCGGGTGTATCGACACCTCGAGCGCCGGCCGCGCTTCGCTGCCTGCTTTCTTCCTTGCGCCCCTCGCCGCTCATTAGTTTTAATTCGGTTGTGGCCACGCTCCTGACGGTGTCTGCGGGGGACTTTGCGTGCAACGCTGCTTCCGCCGCGGCCCGATGGGGCTGCCGGCCTGCTGCTGCTGCAGTTGCTGCTGCTGCTGCAGTTGCAGTTGCTGCCGCTGCTGCGGCGCCAGCAGGGCCGGCGCGTGGTTTCTCGAACCCTTTTAGCAGCGAAACTCTTTTCTTCGGTTCTGCTGCTGCTAGAGCTCCTCCTGGGGCAGTTCAGTTTCTCTTTAGAATGAAACGTGAATAGTTCGAGTTTCCCTGCAGCAGTTTGGGAGAGCCTCTGGGCCCGGAGGCTTTGCCGTTTATTTGTAAATTTCCTATTAGAGGGGAAGTTCTACTCGCATGCATGCAGTTGGGGTGTATGTACACTTGGTTCCGCAACACCACTGTGGGAGGGTGTGTTTGGATAGGGAAAAAAGGAGGTACTTTCTAAAGCTTTCTAGCTTTTATTTTCCATTATTCTTTAGCAGCAGCAAATTAAATAAAATGTGCTGCTGGGCGTTCAGGCCCGGAGCCGCAGAGCCCTCGAAGGCTTGTGATGCAGCAGCAGCAGCACCACAACCTCCTGCTGCTGCACCCGCTGATGCGCCTGCGCCCGCTGCTGCTGCACCTGATGCTGCTCCACCTGCACCCGCTGCTGGTGACGCACCTGCAGCAGCAGCAGCAGACTGCGGATGCAGCCCGGATAAGAAGGAAGACTGCTGCGACGGGGGAGATAAGAATAAGAGCAGCGGCAAATTCTTTCATCACTTAAAAGAAAAGCTGCATCACCACCACATCAAGAAGCACTGAAGGCAAATCTGGGCCTAGATCTGCTGCTCCTAATTGTTTTAATTAAATTAAATTGTAAGAATTAAAAAGCGCTCCAAGAAGCGGCTGTACGTACATTCCGTGAGGTGTACGTACACGCCTGAAAAAGCTTCAAAAACGGCGCAACGAAGACTTTCCAAAAGGCCTTTTTTGGCTTTTTATTCGCCACAAACATCTCCATTTAAATGTCTATTTGTCGCATTAAATTGTTTTAAATAAATGCCAAAAAATTGTATAAAAGAGGTTCCAGAAGGGGCGTTGTGTATATCTGTGTACCTCACGAAGCCATGTGTCGTGCAATAGACATTCTTAAAATGTTCAAAAGATGTTTTAAATATATAATTAATGTTTCATTCAATGTAGTTATTATGGAATGGAATTATTATACTATTTATTCATTGTCTAATTGGCCTTTTTCCTCTATGATAGATCTCTTAGATTTGCAGTAGATCTTCATACATCTTTTATATTTAATAGTTTTATATATATAATAAATGCATATATAAGGCATTTACTATATAAGGGTTCTATTTAATAGATTTATTTTGTAGTATATCTGTCATTTATAATAAATCCATTCTACAATAGATCTTTTATTTATTATGTATATTATTTCTATTCTGTATAATGCACATCTGCTACATATATACTTTAATTATATATTTTATATATCCATTATACTCAACTGCTATCCACTCTGCATTATGTCTATATTTTAAATAACAAACTATTATACAAAATATATATATATATATATATGTGTATATTGTGCATAATTAATTGTTTAAAACAAAATCTTTTATATGATATAAAAGCTTCTTTTATGAAACAAATATTTGCTAATCTATTTATTCTTTATTCATTAAACATAATAGCCTGTATAAACATTTCCTTTCGTGCTGCGCCCTGATTTGAATTTGGGGGAAAAGCTTCACTAAAATGATGTTTGTGGCTGAGAGCTGCAAATGGTTCAAATTAATTGAAATGTAAATTATTTAAATAAATTTGAAGAGCTTTTGGAGAAAAAGAATAAAAGATAAATCCAGAAAGAAGAAGAAACGAGAAATATACTTGTCTATTTCAAGAAGCGCTTTGCGCCAATGAAAGCTTTTCTTCTCCTGTGTGTCGGGAGATCTAATTTGGACTTTTTCGGTTCTTTCTGCAGCAAATCTTTCTTTTATTTTATATTTAATTCCTCAATTTATTCTTTCAATTCATGTATTTCTTTATTTCTCGCCTCTTCGCGCTTTCCCCGCCGCTGCTGCTGCTGCAGCTCGCCAGGTGTCTGTGCACCTCAACGAACCCCCCGATCGGGTCTTAACGTGGATCGATGCAAATATCTTCTTCTCAATTTTATATTAATATTCTTTTTAAATAATATAACTATTTCAATACAAATATTATTTAAAAACATAAATATAAACATTTTATCAAATTCAACGGAAATACCCTTCTAATTGCATGCAGCCACCTGCTCGTGGACCAAAACCAATTTTGCAAAAATGCGCATTCTCATGAAAAGTATTCATAACTGAACATTTAATTTATTTTTCCAAGAATATTATTTTAAATTAACTTTAATAATGCAAGTTTAATTCAAATTTAATTTATTTTCCCCCAAATTTTATTTCGAAATTCTACTTTGGCAGCAGAAGCCCCACTATCGGATCTGCTGCGTTTATTCTCGTTGTAGGAAAATCTGCAATTGGCAAACTCCAAAAGCAAATAAATATAAATAAAAGAATTCGAAAACTTTTAATTATTTTTTTTCGTTTTTAAAATGAATTAAACTCGCACTTACATGCATGCGCTCCATATCCACTTCTCAGCAATTTAAATTCAGTTTATATATACAAGTAAAATCTTACATCACATATAGTACACATTTATTTACATAGATATACAAATATATCTACAGATATAATATATATATTATGTATGCATTATAAATATATATATTACATGTATATATAGACAATTATATCTATATATATATTGTATATTAATATATAAATATAGATACTACATATATATATATAATATATATGTACATATATATATACATATACATGTATATATATATATATATGTATATGTATATATATATTATATATACTTATATATAGGTTAAAATAAGCCATATGGGTCACTGTCTGTTATAAATATTTGTGTTTACCTTCTAATACAAACGTACTTATTTATATTTATACTTATTTATATTGATTAATATTCATTAATATTTATCAGTGTCTATTTTTAATTATTTTTATTTATTTATTTTTATTCATATAAATGCGCATGCACTATACCTGTGGAGCCCGCAGTGTCCATTTATTATAAACAAATACTTTCAATTTTAATATCTAAATTCATCATATATATATTCAAAACAAATAAATAAATAAACAAATAAATAAATAAATAGATAAAGACATATATTTGAAGTGTACATACACCTGGCATGCATGCGCGCCTACAGATTGCACGGCGTTTCTTGCTGCTGCATTTTTGTCTTTCTGTTTCTTTCCTTTGGTCTTTAAAGAATTTAAACTAAAAAAATATTATAATAAAACCTAAATCTATGAAAAAGGACTCAGCTGCTGCTTCTCTGGGGAAGAAGCAGCAGCAGCAGCACTGCTGCAGCAGCAGCACTGCTGCAGCAGCAGCACTGCTGCAGCAGCACCCAACAGCAGCAGCAGCAGAGACGCAAACGGCAGCCAAAGTAAACTGAAGCAGCAGCGAAGCCGTCGGTGGCTGCAAACAGCAACAGCCAAAAACGAGGGTTTAGGGTTTAGGGTTTGGTTCGCCGTTCTTTTGTAGAGGCCCCGAAAACAAAAAGCGGAAATAAATCGAAGACAAAAGATGAAAGAACAAAACAATTATTTTTATTTTCCATTTTAAAAATAATAAATAATTATAAAATAAAAAACAATAAATATAAATGCAAATATCCACGGAAATAGTCACTGCAAATCACATCTGCCTGCAGCAGCAGCAGCAGCAGCCGCAGCAGCAGCAGCAGACTTGTTTCGATCAGCAGCACGTTCATTTGCTTCAAATTAATAATGTGCAAGTGACATAATTGGGTCGGGAACGCCCAGGCAGCTCAACACGTCTTCCTGCTGCTGTTGCTGCTGCTGCTGCAGCAGCAGCAGCTGCTGCTGCTGCTGCTGCCGCTCCAGGGGCTCAGACGGCAGCGGCAGTCTGCCGCTTGCTGCGTCCGCCAGCCTGACTTCGTCCCCTCCCCCAGCAGCAGCAGCGGCAGCTATAGCAGCAGGGCGCTGCCAAGGCCTGTCTGCTGCTGCTGCTGTTGCTGCTGCTGCTGCTGCTCCAAATGTGTCACTTATATAAGGAGATAACACAAAAGGAAAAAAGAAGAATCCCAAAACAGAAACTGCGCCTTTGCTGCCTCCAAAGCGCGGCTCTCCCTCGCTCACACTCAGCTCCTGCAGCAGCAACAGCAGCAGCAGCAGCAGCAACAGCAGAAGCGGCAGCAACAGCAGCAGATCAACTATTTGCAGAACGTAACGTAAGAGCAGCACGCACTTGCCTTCGTAAGCCAGCAGCAACAGCAGTAGCGGCAACGACGCACGAGCAAAACAAGAGCAGCAGCAGCAGGAACTGCAGCAGCAGCAGCAGGGACTGCAGCAGCAGCAGCAGGGACTGCAGCAGCAGCAGCAGCAAGAAGTGCAGCAGCTGCAGTTTACCAGTTTTCCCTTAGCACAGGAGGTGTAGGCCCCCTCCAGCAGCACAACGGCGGATGGCGGCAGCAGCAGCTTGAGAGCTTCTGCTTCTGCTGCAGTGACTCCTGCAGCAGCAACAGAAGCGACAGCTGCTGCTGTGTCTGCTGCTGCTGCTGTTGCAGCGCCCGTTGCAGCTGCGGAGAGCTGCTGCTGCTGCTGCTGTTGCAGGCGCGCCGCCGATGCCGGCGGAGCCGCCGCAGCAGCGGCGGCGCCCGCTGCAGTAGGAGCAGCAGCAGCAGCAGCAGCAGCAG